GCAATTGGCCATGCTGACAGCCCTCTGTCTTCAGGTTTACTTGTTTCATTTACTTTCTGTGTCATGCAAATTTTTTGTTTTGGCCATGGACAAATTCAAAAAGAATTAACATATAGGAATTGGCTAAAAAATATGAACTGTGTGGTACAACCCAAGACCACCTACAAGATATTTATAAATTTCTTTCTTTTTTTTTTTGCAACTGTACCATAAACATACCTTCCAACGAAACAAGCAAAGGCCTATAAGACTAAGAGTAAATCTGGCTCGCAAAACTGGAGGCTATCTATGCACTTTACTAAATATGTGAAGTCTGCCGTCGTAGCCGCCACCCTAGCTAGGCCTAGTAGGCCTAACACTAACCTTAACCTCCGTCTCGCTATCTTTAATTAATAATGCACTACTTTGGAAGAGTAGGCCTAGGCCTCTTAAGTGCATTAGAGGCGAGGAATGTTTTGCTGCAATGTTTGGATATTAAAGTTGGCTGTGAGGGTGTTCCCCAACATCAGCTGATGGATTGAGAAGAAATGCCGCAAGTAGCAGGCTTTCCAGAGAGGCCTAGCCAATTGAGTATTCCTATTTTATTACTTACGCCGGCAAAAATGCTCTATTAAGTATATGAACTGAGAACGAAGTGTGACTGACTACTCCTAAGACTGGAAGGTAAACAAAGTTGATTTCATCGAATTTTTCTCTCGTCAAGTACCTCCTGACGAATGACTTCAAGATACCCATAATACGGTAGGTCGGAAGAAGGTCAACTCGGCCCCAAGTAAACTCGAATTCGATCCAACTCGGCCACAAGTCAACTCGGCCACAGTCAACTCGGCCACAAGTCAACTCGGCCACAAATCAAGTCGGCCAAAAAAAGTTCGGCTGCAGTCAACTCGGCCACAAGTCAACTCGGCCACAAGTTAGCTCGGCCACAAGTCAACTCGGCCACAATTATTATTGCTGTTATTATTGTTGTTTTTATTACCGTTAGTTTTAATATTAATTATTAGTAACACTAACATTATGTATTGTTTAAATTTTTGCTGATATTATTATTGTTATCATATAAATAATAAAAAATTCTCGATTTTTTTTATTCATATTATTATTATATATTAGTCTTAGTATTTTATTATTTTAATAATAGTAATTTTAAAAATATTGTTATTGGTGTTTTATTGGTATTTTTCTCATATTATTATTATTATTATTATTATTATTATTATTATTATTATTATTATTATTATTATTATTATTATTATTGTTGTTGTTGTCACCTTTATTATCGAAGTAGGCCTAGTATTATAAGTATCATAATTATTATTATTACTAATTAATATTACTATTATTACAAAAATAAACGTTATCTTTAATTTATTATTGCTGTTATTATTGCTATTATCACCTTTAATGTTATTATCACTAATTAGTATAATTAAAATAGATATTTAAATATCGTTGTTCGCGAGACAAAGTAAAGGAACTCAGCTTTTAAGGTTCAAAATTCACAATTTATTTTCACTCAATTTCACAGGTTACAATTCACAATTTGTTGATACTTCATGTAAATGATTCAGTAAATTCACTGGTATCGCTATTCACTTAATATTCAACTTTGTGTTGACTCCTCAAATTTTCAATTCTAACTTCACTTGTTAATTCACATTAATTCCGCTTGGTTTCTAATTCAATTCCACAATAATCCTCACTTAATTCTTGGTTAATTTCGAGTTAGTTCTCGAGTTAATTCTCGTTAGTTCTCATTCATTTGGTCACTGGTTCACATTTTGTTACACATTTGTTACCTCCCATTTTTTAATATTAACCTATCACAGTGACACTTTTCTCATCAGTGGTATTTAAAATTCTCAGTATTTGATAATTAATTGACTATTTTTTGGGTTCAACTACCTTTCTTTAACTCCTAGTCATTACCTAACCACACATTAATTTATTGTTTAGAAATGTACATTCTTCCAGTCTAACTGGTGCCACTATTCTAAGTTGCCACTATTCTAAGTTTCACTTTAATCTTAACCACGTATTCCCTATGGAATCTTCCCATTTCCTCCTTTAATGGTTTACTTAATTTTTGTTTATAAATTTCTCTTAATTATAAAATTCCTCCTGAACAATCGTTATTATTACCATATTATTACTATTAGTATTGTTAAAATAAATATTACTATTAATATTGTTGTTGTTATCACCTTTATTATCGTTATTATGACTAATTAGTATTATTATTTAGTAAATAATATTTGAAAAGGACCGACATGTCACTCACGTCATTGGATGCATCCATGTCACTGACGGGTTTCAAACATAGCCCCCAATGGTCGAACAAATATGAAGGACTATTGTGGATAATTGATACTAGATGCTGCACACCACCTAATTTTAACGTAGGCCTAATTCTTGGGCGTGGTTCTGAAGAAAATAGTATCGAAATGCACGCCATCATGCATTCATTTGATTTTAGTCGGATTCAAAATAAATTTTTAATATTTAAAAAAATCATAATGTGGTTTTTCTACTTCAATTTTTTATGATTAGGTCTACAGTATGTACTCATATTTTATGTCAGTGTTTTAACGTGAACAAAATTAAACATTAATATATGTGTTTTTCTTAATTATTAAGATTGCTTAAATTGTTAATGTTACAATTGTCAGATTTTATTCCTTTCTGCAAGTGGCGGGTTTTCTCTGTTAAATAAGAGTACAGTGTGAAGAAATGTATACAACGATCTCACGACAAGTCAACTCGGCCCAAGTCAACTCGGCCCCAATTGTACTGTATACGAAATAATTACCAAAAGAAATTTAAATGCAAACCCAAACTATGCCAAAATTAAAGTGTTTTTTTTTTAAATCGTTGCCCTTGTTACATTTTTTTTAAATTTACAATAATAGAATCAGCATTAATAAAAATAATATTAACAAAAACTAATGATAAAGCACGATATGAACTAATATTAATACTGATTTATAGGCATATTAAATGTACATTATATATATATATATATGTATATATATATATATTGTATAAACAATATAAACATACTGAAATTCTTCTCAAATAAATTGTTTCTAGTCCATTATGGTATTCTTTTCTTATATTTTTAAAAATGATTTAGATTTTACATATTATTATAATGATTTATATACATATGTATATGAATATATATATATATATATTAAAATTATATACATATATGTAATGTACATATTAATATAATGTATATTAGCATCATATATATATATATATATATATATATATATATATATATATACCTATATATGTATATATAGTACCTAAGTATAGGTCGAAATATTTCTTTTCTCTAATAAAGTGTTTCTAAAGTCCATAATATGCTATTCGTATACACATAGGCTTATATC